TATATATTTTTTTTTACTCGATTTTCCTTGTTTTATGCTGTGTGGACGTTGTTTTCGGCGGCGGCGGCTCCGTTGATTGGCTTTTACTGGGTTGTACGGGGGGCTGGACTGTCCACCTCCTCATCTACAATTGTCGGTGGATTCCCTTCCTTTGCCGGTTCGGTCGAGGCGTTGATCGATTTTAGCTTTTTGACTATTCTGCTTATACGGCTCTTGAGACTCCGATCCCCGAGAAATTTCGTCACATTGGTAAGCATCGCGATAATTCCTTGTGTGTCGGTCGTGAAACTCAGGGCTATGGAGGCCGGATTCGATGAACCCTGCGTCCTCGCCAAGAAGGTTTTTAGCTGGTCGAGTGTTAATGGGTATTTGTCTTTAAATTCCGTCAGATGTGCTTCTGCACCCTTCAAAGGGCCATCTAATGCTGCTTTAGCATCATTGCATGAGGATAAGCTGGAGAGAGAGGATGCGTCACTTTCAATGTCTGAGTTATCGGGAGTGTCCGTCGGCATGGCTGCTTTCTTCTTAGCAGGAGCAGTATTTCCAGATGAGAGACTGGCTATTGAACGATTACGTTTGCCTTGACCCTTGGTAGCCCAGTCCATGTTTACGTTATTCGCTTCCTCATTAATTATTGATTGCTGAATATTTGTGTCGACAGCTGTACTTGGACGTTGAGATGCTGTATTATTCACCTCAGGTGTTATGGTCTCCGTGTTTTTGTCTGGGCATGCCCTGGCTACGTGGCCTTTCTTTCTGCAATTGAAACAAGTTATCGAGTCCGTAGATGTGAATATCCAGTAATCGATTGTATCGTGGTGTACGCAGAATTTTTCAGGTAGTTTCACTACGTCTGAGTAAGGAATTTGTATTTGCCGTCTGTTGCACATAAGGTGCGTAAACCCAACATCGTTGATGCCTGCTCGTACTGGAGTAAGCGGAGAAGCAGGGGAAATGCCCAGTTCAATTAGTTTTTGGACAATAGTCGAACTAGGAACCCATGGAAAGATGTTGGACAGTGTTACTCGTTTGGTTTTCGGGATGTATGGTTGTATCAAGATGTCTCTTCCATTAATGTTGATCGATGTTTCAGTTTCTACTAGATTTTCTACTAGGGTTTTGTTGGCCAGGACGAAGAGTATTCTCTTGTTCGAGATATGAGCTACTGAGATCATGTGCGCTGGATCTACAATTTTGCCAAGGGCCAGTGCATAATCACGAGTAGTTAGACCTTCAATCACCTCTAGCACGATAGCTTGATCCTTTTGTGGGAGTGACTCTTGTCGAATAATCTGGGAGTATGAAGGACTAGGGATGGTAACTTGAGTAGATTCGGCCATGGTGTCAGTTGGGTTATATTCCCCCCGTAGTCGGAAGAAATATGCACCGGCAAGACCCCTTAAGGGTCAAAACAGTTAGATAAATGAATTAATTTAGTTTAGTGTAATTCTTCAATGCTTATGCAATTGCACTTTTAATTTACATTACACGCGGCACAGTAATACTAAACTGATAATCGAACACAAACGGAGCAGTTAGTAAACACGTCTACTCTCTTCAACGGTTCGATCCGGCTGGCTGGGGATCTTTTTGTCGCGGGATTTTTTTGGGGGATCTTCCCCTTGGGGATCTTTTGACATGGACTCTAAAAGCCTGCGACGCCACTATGACGAGGAAACGAACTACGAATCGACATCCACCGGTGTATTGGTGGAATGAGACCATCGCTGTGTTGCGGAAGGAGTGTAACGCAACTAGAAGGTCACCTCAGCGTGGTAGGAAAAGTCCTAATTTCCAGGAGTTAGAGATGAAATACAAGAAGGCACGGCGGAAACTCAGCAAAGCCATCAAGTACAGCAAGAGACAATGCTAGAGCGAGCTCCTTAGCAAGGTAGAGAACGACCCATGGGAGAGGCCCTACAAGGTGGTAATGACACGACTCAAAAGTCAATCAATGCTATCACCATCGTGCCTGGTGTTCCTAAACAGAATTGTGGAGACGCTGTTTCCGAGTCAACCGGAATCTCGCCGCAATACTGAACAATGGGAAGGAGAAATTTTTCCGAAGATCACCAGAGAAGAGTTGATGGAGGCCTGCAAAAGAGTGGGAAACTCCAAAGCTCCAGGGCTGGATGGAATTCCAAACGTCGCGTTGAAANGAAAAGTCCTAATTTCCAGGAGTTAGAGATGAAATACAAGAAGGCACGGCGGAAACTCAGCAAAGCCATCAAGTACAGCAAGAGACAATGCTAGAGCGAGCTCCTTAGCGAAGTAGAGAACGACCCATGGGGGAGGCTCTACAAGGTGGTGATGACACGACTCAAAAGTCAATCAATGCCATCACCATCGTGCCCGGTGTTCCTAAACAGAATTGTGGAGACGCTATTTCCGAGTCAACCGGAATCTCGCCGTAATACTGAACAATGGGAAGGAGAAATTGTTCCAAAGATCACCAGAGAAGAGTTGATGGAGGCCTGCAAAAGAGTGGGAAACTCCAAAGCTCCAGGGCTGGATGAAATTCCAAACGTCGAGTTGAAACTGGCCATGCACATGATACCAGAGCAGTTCCTGGATGTTTACAACGAGTGCCTCAGAGAAGGCATCTTTCCTACCGTCTGGAAGCAGCAGAGGTTGGTATTGCTTCCAAAGGGGAATAAACCATCGGAAGAACCTTCATCCTACCATCCTCTCTGCATGCTCGATACTGCGGGTAAGATTCTCGAGCGTATCATTCACCAGAGGATAGAAGCTGCAGTGGAACCCGTGCTTGCCAGAAATCAGTATGGTTTCAGGAAAAGCCGATCCACACTCGATGCCATCAATCTTGTCGTCGAAACCGCGAGGGAAGCGATTGCAGGGGAACGATAGCTCAATGGCACCAAGGAGTACTGTTTAGTAGTGACACTAAATATCAAGAATGTCTTCAATTCAACCAGGTGGGACTGCAATATGGAGGCTCTTGACAAATTGGAAGTACCAGGATACCTGCAGAGAATAGTCAACAGCTATTTCAGCGGAAGGGTCTTTAAGTACGACACAGAGTCCGGCCCCAGGAAGTACAAGGTGACAGGAGGAGTACCCCAAGGATCAGTACTGGGTCCTCTCTTGTGGAACATCATGTACGATGGGCTGCTAAAGTTGAACACGCCCTGGCGGACCAAGTTGGTGGCATTTGCGGATGACGTGGCGGTGGTCATTGTTAGGAAGCACCTGGAGGACATGAAGCGTGTTTTCAGCACAACGTTTGAGACGATCCGCTGCTGGATGGATTCTGTTGGATTGAACCTAGCAGAACAGAAGACAGAAGCCGTATTGATCACCAGCAGGAAGAAGATCGAGACAATCACGCTGAAAGTCGGGTCTTGTGAAATCACCTCCCAGCCATTCATTCGATACCTGGGGGTGATGATTGATGCACGACTGAACTTCAAGCAGCAAGCGGAGCACGTGGGGACCAAGGCATCTGGTGTGAAATCCACCTTATCACGCATCATGCCTAATATTGGGGGACCCAAGCAAAGAAGACGAGCACTGTTGTCTTCAGTAATTACTTCGGTGCTCACCTATGCAATTCCCATTTGGGGAGATGTACTACAACTGCAGGGAGCGCGACGCAAGATCGCACCAGTCTATCGACTTGGTGCTCTTCGAGTTGCAAGTGCATATCGGACGGTTTCTCAAGACGCGGTATGTGTTATCGCAGGAATGTTGCCCATCGAGGTTTTGGCTGAGGAGCGAGGATCGCTGTAGCGGAAACGATCGCTCGCATCGAAAATGATAAGCGCCGAAGAACTGGCGGCTGAGGAGAGGCGAAACAGCATGAACCGATGGCAGGAGAAGTGGACGAATTCGACCAAGGGAAGATGGAGCTATCGTCTAATTCCACACGTAGTCGCGTGGGTAAATCGAAATCATGGAGAGGTAAATTATTATCTGTGCCAAATGCTTTCAGGACACGGGTTCTTCCTAGAATACCTTCATAGATTCAAGCATGAAGATTCTCCGGAATGTCCCACCTGCTCAGGAGTGGCAGAAGACGCAGAGCATGTATTTTTCGGCTGTCCTCGGTTCAGCGACATTCAGAATATCTGGGAGTCAGAACTCACGAGGACTATCTCACCTGAAAATTTGGTGGAAGAAATGCTGTCATCGCAGGCAGCCTGGGACGCAACAAGCAACTTCGCGACAAAAGTCCTGAAGGAGCTCAGAAACGAGGAACGCAAGCGAAAAGCTTCAACATAGGTTAGGGGGACGTATATAAGATGGTGAAGGTGGAAGAGCATACAGCGGAGACCTCCCTCGCGAAGTAATACTTAACAGTAGTTCCGCAAGGGATTCAAAGGTTAGTGAATTTGTCTGATGGGAGTTTAGTGGGTATTGACAGTCACTGTCCGAGCCCCACACTCACCTGACGGGGGGAAGCTCCTATTCCCTCCCTCAGGTCGTCGTGCGTAAATGCATTCTCCAACAGACGGGAAAAAAAAATACCCGCACACACACGCACACACACACGCACACACGTCTATAATCGGAGGTGCACCTCAAGGCTCGGTATTGGGTCCCTTGTTGTGGAACATCATGTATGACGGTCTACTGAAGCTGGAACTGCCACGGGAAACTAAACTCGTGGCATTTGCGGATGATGTACCCATAGTCATCGTGGGCAAATACCTGGAGGAGATCAACCTCAGTTTCGACATGACCTTCGAGACGATCTGTCGCTGGACAAACACTGTAGGACTGAGCCTGGCTGAACATAAGACCGAAGCCGTACTGATCACTAGCAGGAAGCAAATTGAGGCAATCACGCTGCAAGTGGGGTCCTGTGAAATCACCTCCCAGCCGTACATCCGATACCTGGGAGTGATGATCGATGCCCGAATTGATTTCGAGCAGCAAGCTGAGCACGTAGGAATTAAGGCTTCTGGAGTCAAATCCACCTTATCGCGTCTCATGCCCAACATAGGAGGTCCAAAACAGAGAAGACGAGCATTGCTGTCGTCGGTGATCACATCGGTGCTCACCTACAGCATTTCCATCTGGGTGGACGCATTAAAGTTGCAGCAATCACGGCGGAGAATTGCACCAGTCTATCGACTGAGTGCTCTGCGAGTCGCGGTATCCGAAGACGCGGTGTGCGTTATAGCCAGGATGCTCCCTATAGAAATGTTGGCCGAAGAACGAAGGTCATTGTATCAGCGGAGGAAATCTGAGACACTGAGCGCAATAGAACTCAGCGCAAAAGAGAGACGAAAGAATCTACAGCAATGGCAGGAGAAGTGGGACAACACGTCGAATAGAAGATGGACTCATCGGCTGATCCCACTGGTGAGTGCTTGGATAAATCGCACACATGATGAGGTTAATTATTACCTGAAGCAAATGTTTTCGGGACATGGGTGCTTCCGGGCGTATCTTCATAAATTCAAACATGAGGATTCCTCGAAGTGCCCAGTCTGCACCGAAGTCGACGAAGACGCGGAGCATGTGCTTTTCAGATGCCACCGCTTCCGCGAGATGCGGCGTGTTTGGGAATCTGACCTTGGAAGGGAGGTCTTGCCTGAAACCATGTTGGAAGCTATGCTGTCATCACAGGTAGCCTGGGATGCAACGAGTAACTTTGCGGCGGCAGTCATCAAGGAACTCAGAAGAGAAAAACGTGAGCGCAAAGCTACAGCATAGGTGAGAAATCTAATGGATCCTCTTGTTGACAGCCAACACCTTAGCGGAATGAGGGGAAGCACGCTAGATGGAAAACGTGGAAGAACGAACAGTTGAGACCTCCCTCGCGAAGTAATACTTTACGGTGGTGCCGCGAGGGGAGTAAAAAGGTTGGTGAATCTGTCTGACTGGAGTTTAGTCGGTATTGGTCCTTGTGACCCGAGCCCGACATACCCCAGTTGTCGGAGAAAATCCCTAGGATTCTCTCCCGCAAGTGGGCATGTGTAAATGTATTCTCTCAAGAGACATTAAAAAAAAATACACGTGTATGGTGAGAGAGATGAAATTTTGGATCAGCAATCCGGAAATGACTTTATCGTTAACTTCCCGATTTATATCACGTAGTAATCTTAACGGCCCCGAGAATCGAAATTTAAGTTTCATGTCAGCGCCAAGTTTCGTAACCTGTGACAACTTTCTATGAAATTCTGATGAGGATTATTAACTTCCCAACTCGAAGGGAAGAAGTTATTGTAATGACCCCGAAAATCAAAAGTGGAAATTTTATGATATCTCCCCGTTTCATGGCCCCGCGAATCATTCTATGATGTTTTTGAAGATATGTCTGTCTGCCTGTCTGCCTGTCTGCCTGTGTGCCTGTTTGCCTGCCTATTATTCTGTCTATCAGTCAGTCTGTCAGTCTGTGTGTCTGTCTGTCTGTGTGTGCTTTTTTCATTTTTTTCATTTTTGTTTAAATTAAAGTCTGTCGGAGAATGCATTTACGCATCCCCACTTGAAGAAGGGAACGGGTGATTTCCTCCTTCAACTGGGGCATGTCGGACTCGGATCCATGATCAATACCGACTAAAATCCTGTCAGACTTAATTCTACTAACCTTTTATCCCCTCGCCGGACCACCGTTAGGTATTACTTGGCGAGAAATGTCTCAGCTATTTGCTCTTCCGCGTTGTTTCCCTTTAGTGTACGTCCCCCTGTCCCGCTAAGGCGTTCCTCACTTCTCGGCTCTTTGATGACTTGTGTCGCAAAGTTGCTCGTTTCGTCCCAGGCTATCTGCGATGACAGCATAACTTCTATGGGGATGTACTCTTTTAAGAGATAAATTGATTTTTTTTCAGGAATAGTCGAACAAAATGTTCACTTCATTGAAGTTTTTACGAAAAAATCTGTTTGTTTTTTTCTGTTTTATGAAGATATTAGGGGCAGATGGGGGGAAATGGATACTTTCAATTTTCTTTTGACATTCATAACTTAAGAACAAATTTACCAATTGAGATTAGTCTAGGCTTATCACAAGGCAAAGAGTATGTACCCCAAATTGAAAAAAAATCCATTTCATCAACACTTCAATAAGACATTAAAGTTTCGAAAAGGGTTAAAAGTGCGCATTTCACTCTACTATCCCTACTAATTTTTTAGAAATAATCACAAAATTGTTTTCATATTGTTCGCATATCACCGTGACCTCATTTAGAGAATTTTGTCTACGGAATTGACAACATTTTCCGTTTTTACTCAAAGAAAAATACATATTCTCTTTTCAAATTCAACTATTCAAGGGCATTTAATACTTGATCACACAATTTTCGACACATCCCACTTCCCTTAGACTCCTTACATAAACCATAACCTCACAATCAGACCATAAACAATTTTTATCTCCGAGATCCGGATATGGATATAGATATGACAGGGAAAAATTCGAATTTTTGACGAAGGAAAAAAAATAGAACTCCTCGTTGATTTCTCGTTTTACTCTAATAAGTCATTCAAGAGGAGCAAAGAACGTTCCCCGTGTTTTCCATAACAGCATCACAACCCACATGTAAATGCACTGGTGGTAACATTTCGAAGTTGGATAAAGGCTCAGTTGGACCCGTTGTATGGAACGCAACGTTATAACTTAATTCTTCGACTTTATCATAGGAATCGCGAGAATCTGAATAGCAAATCGTTGCTATGCGAGTATCTTTCTTACTGTTAATCCAAAAAATATAAGTTATACCGTTGAAAAGCTCATAGGTGAGTTATACTGTATAACTAAGGACACTTTTCCGATTTGTCGTCCCGTTTTTATTATACCGAATGTAAATCATTAAGTGGTGATGAAGGAGGGAGTTCTGTCGTGTATAGATATGCGGTGCGCTCGGTCTGATGTTTTACTCAGTCGGTCAAAATGTTTTCTTGGCCGATACGCTACCGCTCATCTCGATGACCGCTTTCCCCCGCCCCGCAATTTTTCAGTAAAAATTCGCTATCTCTCTCAGCTTGGAGATATGATTGAAAAATAAAAACTTAATGTTTAAATTCCTGACCCTAAGGGAGGAAGTTATTGTAATTACCCCGAAAATCGGAAGTAGAATTTTCATGATTTGTCGACGTTTCATGACCTCTAGAATCATACTGACACGTTTTTAGAATCATGTTTGTGTGTGTGTGTGTTTTTTTGAATATCTGTTGGGAGAATGCATTTACGCATCCCCACTTGCGGGAGAGAATCCTAGAGATTTTTCCCGACAACTGGGATATGTCGGGCTCGGGTCACAAGGACTAATACCGACTAAACTCCAATCAGACAAATTCACTCACCTTTTTACTCCCCTCGCGGCACCACCGTTAAGTATTACTTCGCGAGGGAGGTCTCAGCCGTTTGCTCTTCAACGTTCTTTCATCTAATGTACGCCCCCCTATCCCGCTGAGATGTTGGGTGTGATTAGGAGGTTCCAAAAAGATTTCTCACCTATGCTGCAGCCTTGCACGTGCGTTCCTCACTTCTGAGCTCCTTGATGACTTCTGTCGCGAAGTTGCTCGTTGCGTCCCAGGCTGCCTGCGAAGACAGCATTGCTTTCACCAGGCTCTCAGGCTTGTCCTCTCTTCCTAGGTCAGACTCCCACGTACTCCGGATCTCACTGAAACCAGGGCATATGAAGAAAACATGCTCTGCGTCTTTGTCCACTCCTGTGCAAACTGGCCACTCCATGGAATTTTCATGTTTGTATTTGTGAAGATACGCCCGGAAATACCCGTATCCTGAGACCATTTGTGACAGGTAATAATTGATCTCTCCATGGTTCCGACTTACCCAGACGGCCACCTGTGGGATCAGACGATGAGTCCATCTCCCTTTGGTGGAGGTGTCCCACTCTCGCTGCCATCATGGTAAACTCTTATGCCCCTCGTCTGCGCTGAGTTCTGTTGCGCTCAGTGCTTCCGACTTCCTCCGTCGATACAGAGACCTTCGTTCCTCAGCCAGATGTTAATACTGAGCCCTGCGGCACACATCCAGTGACTCTGTACTCCTCGGGGCCACCCTCCGTGTACTTTAGAACTCTCCCTGTGAAATAATTGTTCCCCATTTTCCGCAGGTATTCAGGTACGTTGAACTCCGCCAGAGCCTTCATAATACAGTCTCACCTAGCCGAGTTGAAGGCATTCTTGATGTCCAATGTCACCACTAGGCAGTGCTTCTTGGTGCCTCTGAGCCATCTCGCTCCTGAAATTCCTTCTTTGGCGGTATCGATGACGTGGTTGATTGCATAAAGAGTGGATCGGCATCTCTGAAAACCGTATTGATGTTTGGCCAACACCGGTTCCACAGCTACTTCTATTCTCCTGAGGATGATACGTTCAAGAATCTTGCCAGCAGTATCAAGCATACAGAGAGGACGAGATGATGACGGTTCGTCTGGGGGCTTTTTCCCCTTCGGGAGTAACACAAGCCTCTGCTGCTTCCACTTGGCAGGGAAGGCGCCCTCCCTAAGACACACATTGTATGCATCCAAAAACAGTCCTGGTTTTGCGTGGCTGGCCGATTCTATTCGCACCTGGTCTTCGAGATTTTAATAACTTGTAGTAGCCCGCCTGCAGCTAGATGGAGCCACACTCCTTCAGAGACCATAGAAAAAGTTGGCTGTGACACCTCGGCGGTGAGAGCTCGCCATCTTATCATTGTTTTCGTGTGTGCGCGAGTGGAACGCACGCTTTTCAGAGTTTCCAGTTTGTTTTGTTATAATAATCTATTTTTCTCCGTTTTTACATAGTTTTTCCAGAGTCATGTGTGACTGTAACAAGAGGAAACACATAAATTGTTCGGAATATCTAGAAATCTATAGTGAAATTGCAAATATTACGTGCATGGGCTTATCGACTTTTCCTTGGACAAATAACCGATTGGAAATAAAGGTAAGCGATGTTTCATGTCTCTCAGCCTTTTTAGACGCTCGGGTCAGATCTTAGAGACAGAACCAATCGACGTCAAAGGCTTTTTAGGTCGAGATTATTCTTTGTAGAACAACTCAGCCTTACCTCATTTTACCTGGTTCTCCTGGTCCTAGAGAAAAAAATCGAGAACAAGGGAATTAAAAATGAGATTGTTACAAATATGTTAGATGGACCTTCATCCCTGATATCCAGGACAGTGCGAGCAACAGCTCAGATCCTGTTGTGCTAGACACATCTGCGCCTGACGCACTCACCTAAGGCTCCAAGCCTTGTTCTACTATTTCAATAGTTGAATCTGCGCTTGACGCATTGATCCAAGCCTCCAAGCCTTCTACTACTATTATAATAAGTACATCTGCACCTGATGCATTAAAGTAAGGCTCTAAGCCTTCACTTACAAATGCAATTGTTGCATCTGCACCTGACGCATCATTCAAGGCCTCAAACCTCCAAAATAATATTCCACCTGAACTCGATTCAGGAATATAGGAGTTCCTGGGCCATCGAAGCCTCATGATGCCGAGATCTCTTTTCAGAGTGATCTGGAACCTCGTTGGAGTCTCTGGCTGGTCTCGAATTTGTTGAGGCACAAATTATACAGATTTATAGAAATATCCACCAAATCTGAATTCAGAGATTGCTTTTATCTCCGTCGAACCGTTGATCCATACAGATAAAGAATTTTTAATCAATCTCAAAAGACGCAGGTTCTGTCCTCGTGCCATTGGGGGTGACTCCTCGAAGTCTGCTCTAGGAAGAGAAACTAGAGAATCTAGTCTTCT